AAGCCTTTCCTGAGCGTTCGTTCTTCTACAGAACTGTACTGCCAAATTCTCAGTGCTTTTTGGATATTTTTATGGCTAGTGGATGCAAATCGGCTCGTTGGAAGGAAAAAAAAAACAGATAGCCGCCGACGTACATCCATGTCTCAAGTGGGATTTGAACCCACAATTACAAAGAGCCAGCAGCCAAGACCCACGTCATGGACCGAATCTTTCTTCGTAATGTATAAGAGTAACACGTGCGTGGCGCAGATTATGTTGTAAAATATTTGACCGTGCCGGTTTTAATGACATTTGCTTGTGTTATCGCCGTGTTTCATCAATTCCTGTCCTTCTATTTATATGACGACCTGTGTTTCTTTTACCAGAGAATTTATAGCTTAAAAGTCTATTTCTCTGTTTACTTTGTACACGTTTTATTTTTAATTTGTCGACATTTGTACATGTGTTACACAAGTTCTGTGTTTTCAACTCGTAATCGTCCCCTTATATCTATAGGCTATATTTCTTTTTCTTGGGTCAATGTTTTAAATTAAATGAGTTATCGTAGTGAAACAATAATTAGTCTAAAATCTATAAGAAATAATAACCGTTATAGTTACCATTAAATAAAAACACTTCTCGATATCGTAATTTTGTCTCGTATAACTTAAATTTGTGAAACAAAAATTGTATATTTGTATCTTAATTGCGTCATGTTTGTGTTATATCAATACATATATTTATTTTTCCAGTCTATACACAAAACTTGTTTTAAAATAATGTTGTTAAAATTATTTATAACATCTACATAACATAATGTTATAAATAATTTTAACAACATTATTTTAAAACAAGTTTTGTGTATAGACTGGAAAAGTAAATATATATTGGTAAAAATTGTATATTTTTGTAAGGTCGCTGACAGATGGTCTGTCATTCCGAGCGCGATGGTGAGATCCAGAGGTTCTTGGACATGGGTTAAACAGTTTCTATGCGCTGAACTGAGGAGTTATACCAGGGAACAGATACACGGAAACGTTGGTGGGATAAATAATGAACTAGGTCCCATCGCTGGGAATAAAAAGGAAAATATATGAGGTGTTATATGATTCCCGGACGTTTCTAACATACAAACAGAAAGATAACGAAACTTTTTCTAGTGAATGATTTCCTAACTTTAAGCTAACACGCGTAACACACTACACTGTTAATGGATTACATGTGTAGATTTAAGTTTGCTTCTGGAAGGAGATGGAAGGTAAAACAGTGTTATTATTTCACTTCGATTCTTTTGCATTTTGTAGCCATACCAGATTCTCGA